CTAAGTAATAGGTACATGTTTCTTCTTGATAATAAAAAAAGTGGTATTGTGTTTGGGTTAAGTTGACTTGACATTTTGTGAACATTGCATCATGCGCAAACATCATAGACGAGCTTTTATTGTTGGAATTCATAGTTTCACGGATATTTTGGAGTATGTACACAGTGTCGTGTAGGAACCATCTCATGTTGCCTCACTCTCTGAATAGCTATACTATGTATCTTTTATAGATGATTACTCTAGATTTGGGTGGATATATTTTCTTATCCACAAGTCTGAGGTGTTTTCTACTTTCAAAACTTGACGCTTACAAGTTGAGACTAAGATTGGCCAAAGGGTGAAATAATTGCGATCAAATAATAGCGGCGAATACATTTTTGAAGTGTTTCAGAGGTATTGTACAGAGTAGCGAATTACTCGCCATTTTATGACGGTTTATACTCCACAACAAAGTGCTATTTTTGAGAGAATTCTCAGAATATTGTTGGAGAAGGCACGAAGCATGCTAAGCGAATCCTGTTTACTAGGAAAATTTGGGCCAAAGTTGTCAACATTGCACTTTATTTGATAAATCTTTTTTCTTTTGGTGCAATCAATTTCTCCACGCCGTTTGAACTCTGACATAAACGCATGACGGATTACAGTCGTTTGAAATGTTTTGGTTGTAGTGCTTATTTTTTCACACCAAAGAAGCACAATATTAAGTTTTAAACTAAGTCCAAGAAATGTTGTGTTTTTGGATTTGCTAGTGGAGTGAAAGGTTATAGACTATGGGATATAGCAACCCATAAGATGATTGTGAGTAGGTATGTTTCTTTCAATGAGCCTGGTTTATTGAACGAGGGGAAGAATTCTGAGGCTCCCTATACTAAAAAGAAAAAATATCTAGTCACAAGTGTTATTATGGGGGAGTTGAATCATTTTGTGAATAATGATCTGTCACAAGAAGTAACATTGTTGCATCAGGTAACACTTTATGAGACAAGCAATGTCTCATAAAACAATTAAGCTAATCAAGATTGAAGTAAAACTCAATCCAACTAATGCTTTGATCAAAGTTATTCCTTTGGAGAATTTCAGGCAACACTTTGTTATCATGCAGGTTGTGCATGGAGAGCACATGTAGAATTTGCTAGCATAGTAACTTCTGTTATCTCTTTACATATTTATTATATCATGTGATGACTACGGTTTAGTTCTAGTTAACTCTCGTGCAAAGAGTAGCCTTGTGTTAGATTTTCAAGAACTTTCCACTATTAAGTTTCTATTTAGAACTTGCCGTGGAATAAATATATAGGTTACGAGATTTTTGATTCTTCATTTTAAAAGATTTTCTTGTTACCTCTTTATGTTATTACTCTATCTTGTTATGGTTATTGTTTAGTTCTAGTTAACTCTCGTGCAAAGAGTAGCTTTGTGTTAGATTTTCAAGAACTTTCCACTAAATAATAATATAAATTACAAAGAATACTGTTTACTTAACACAAGTTAAGGGAAATATTGTTGAGGTTAACCCTGTTGAGGAGTAACTTCAGGTTCTAGTTTTATAAAGCTAGGTTAGTCGCTAGTGTTGGGTATATATGCCCTCAAGGCTTCTACTTTGTACGAGTTGTATTCATTTGTGACTAAACTCTTTCCCATGTTTCAGCCGTGGACGTAGTACTTGAGGATGAACCATGTTATACGACGTCTCTCTCGTGTTCGTGCTTGGCTTGAATGTTTCACTAAGAAGAAGAGAGTCATTGTAGTTATATCTTATCTACAATAGTTATATGTTATATCAAATACGCTCCTTCAAACTCTTGTGTTATTGTCATATTACAACTTTATCTACACCTTACTTTTATTAATTTTAAGTTACTAAATATGATTGCAAACTTTGTTTCATTTAAGATACAACATATTTGTAGAAAAAAAATTCAAATTTTTAACAACCAAAGATGCATTTGCTAGATTTTTGGATCATTTCCAAATTTATTCATATGATAAATATCTTTTTCATTGAATGTGATATTTTACTTTGGAATACTTATGGCTTCAAATTTGCATCTTGAGAGTATGTTTTTCCTCAAATTTCTCATGATTAGTTATCAAAGTTGGAAGAGAAGTTGATACTAGTTGGTTGGTGAATTGTTTTGATACTGATATATATTTTTGCAATTATGACACATAAAATACATAATGTATTTTTATATGTGATGGAAGTTTCAGCTACAAATTTGTTGTAGATAATCAAACATGATTATCTATTTGAAAAATTGACTTTTTGCAATGAACATTTACATGCTATTCTTGTTGACTATAAGCCTTTAGCAAGCTTTTCTTGGCTTGATGTAGCCTTATGTAAATCAGCTCCATAATATTATTGACAAGCGCTATTTTGATAAAACACTTTACATTTTTTGAAAGTCTAAAAAAAAAAGAAGCAAAAATGAAAATGTAAACATCTTTGTATATGCAATAACACAATTTTTATATGCAAGTTACACATAAGGCAAAAACATATGTCACTCTTGTTGTTATTTTAATGTGAATGTACGCAATACTTGATGATTTTTTAGCCCTACAACTCATCTTGAATAATCTTTTAGATTTAATGAACTACAAATGAAAAAAATATGTAAAAAACCAAATAATACATATTCTAAAGTTTTGAATAAACTTTACTTTAGAATTTATTATTTTCCATATATATACATATATTCCATCAAAACTTGATCTTCGTAGTTTAATTCTACTCATTGAAAAAAAATGAATGAAATTGACATGATTTTTTTGAAAATATTTTTTGAAATTGTGTAATATCAAAAAATTATCATTACATTTATATTTTTATCTCACAATCTCTAGATTTTACATTTTTTTAGAACACATTGGTCTGATGATGTCACAATTTGTTCATTTAAAATTTCAGAGACAGGAAAAATGTAAATAAATGAGCACTAGTGACAAATTATAATTTACTTGGACTCCATAATGAAGAAGAATGTACTCCATATTTTTTATCACCTTAAAGATAAAGTCATCTACGCGCAACTTTCTAGTTTTTGAATAGACTTTAGGATGAACACATTCATCTTTGAAGATTTCATATAGAAACAACATTGTTTTGCATAAAAGATAAAATTGTCATTTTTGGCTAGTTATCAACTCAAAATCAAATGTACAGGTTAGATGCATGCATGCATATATCATTCATATGTTATCTTACATCACACAAGAAAAAATGATTGATTTCAAATTTATACTATGACTTTCCATCTTGTTGACTTTGTCTATCAATTGGGCTTGAAGTATATTAGAAATTTTGATGTATAGAAGAATATTAGCTCTTTAGGATCTTGCCTGTATATTCAGAGCTCAAGTATTCTTGAGATGTTGTTTGGGTAGATTTTATGCATCTCGGTGTTTTTTTAATGAAAGTAATACTTATTGAAGAACTTATCATGAAGGTGGTATATCTAGAGATTTTAAACTAACTCTTAAAGTAGAAGGAGTGATTACTTATAGTTCTGGAGCTACAGTACAACACCCAATATCTGCATGTATGATGTTTTTTCAAAGATGTTAATTATATTTTGTTTCATATTGGATAAACGCGGAGATATTTCTGCAAAATTTCTCAATTTTTGTGGGAGTATGCTTCGAAGTGATGCTTTTATTCTGGGTGGCACATTATAGAAGTTTCTTCTTTTCACTATATGAAATATTTTAGAGAAAAGAAATTATTGTTTTGTAAGCACATATCGTGAATGGCAAACATAGTAAAACAATCAAGTTGTAAAACATACGCATATGCAAATTTGTTAGTGTATCATAATTATGATACACTACTTTACGTATGCCATGCTTCACATTTGTTTAAATGAAAAACTATCGTAAAATATGAACACAATGTTGAATACTTTGGTTCCTCATTAGTTCATTGACCGAGTATTAGCGTCCGTATATACGTATTATGCTTGGTCCGGGAAAAGACGTAGAGATTCACCAGGAATAGCAACCTCATCTAGGCACTAGGAGTGTAGATGGCATTTAAGTCAAAAGGTGAAGCTGATCGCAATCCTTTATTCCCACGTTGACTTATGGGGCACCCATATCCTAGTTGACAATAGGGGGCCTCGTGTCCGAGAGAATTTCTGGCTTTGTTTGGCCATGGTTTTGGCCTTTTCAGGCCTGGAGTATCTGTCTTGTTCGGATGATATAAGCAGCACGTGGTTCTCTTTCCCATGCGTCTCCCTCGTCTCTCATTTGTGATTGAATATGATATCAAGTCGGACGATCCGATGGCAGATCATGACGGCAAAGTGGAAAGAAATTCGTGCGAGTCCGGATCGACGGGCACTTCTGCCCGACTTCTGCGTCTAGTTCAGATCCCAGACCGAAGCAGTCCTCAATAACAAATTGTGAGGTATGTTCGAAATGCTTAAAATTTTCTCTTGTCCCTGTCTGAAATGTTGAAGCACGATCTGCCAAATCAGGTCGCTTTTAGTCTCGTGAGCAGACATGACCCTGTGGCAACGAGGAGAGCATTTACAATTGCAACCGCGATGGCAAAGGTTCGTGCCTACCCTCTCCATTACGATGCATAACAATAATAACATTTCTTTCAGTCAGTGATTTTAGTGTCAAATAAGATTCGCGATGTAGGTCAATGCAATCGGTCACTGTTGTATTTTAAAACCGAATTGGGGTACTGTTGAGTCATTGTGTGAAGCTGGATCCGTGTTGGATGGTGGATCCACACTCATTCACTCAATGTAAAAGACTGTGTGAAGTCATCTAGGCAGTAGACGAGAATACGAGGGCCCACAGCTCTGCTGCAACTCCATGTTGACCATCTTCAATGATATTAGAAAGAGAAGAAAATGAGAACAGCTAAAGGTGGGACAAGACGAGCAAAAGCCAAAATGACAGTGACAGAAAACTCTGAATGTTTGCACTCGAAGCTCTACAGACGAAGAAACTGGAATTATCATGATTGCATGAAACTGGAGATGTTTTGTGTACTTTCGTGAAATAGAAACAATAGATCACTTCCATTACATGTTTATCAGATCAAGTGCGGGGTCCCTTCATGAGGGGTCGCTGTTTTCGCGTTGGCCACAGGCAGTCACGTCGACTCTGCACTAATGAAGCACTCCTGCGGGTGGAGTTCACCCTGGACCTGGAATCTCAAGTTCGTCACGCCTATCCTCTGCGCTATCCCGCGAGGATGTCAAAACACCCTGGACAAATACCGTAATACTGGCACTAATGACGTACAGTATATGCTGTGGCTAATTCAAGACTATATGTTACAGATGTAATACTCCGTAGGAGGGTGAATCTGGAGAAGTTGATGTCAAGGGGTAGCTCTAGGGGCCCTATAGATATGTCTTATTACCTAAACCCTTGATCAATCTAAGTAATGCGTCAGTCTTCTGTTCTTTCGAAATACGTACATAACAAAATTGATGTGGACTGAAGTAGCTCCCAACCAGAATTCTTGCCACCGTCCGTCCGTCTGTCTTAAACCTGTACATGAACTCCCCGAACTTACAAGATGTTGTCCGCCTACTAATTCATTAACGAAGTGGACGTGATTGCGTGCAATGATGTGCGGCTCGCAGAAAAGACCGATGCCCTGCGACCGAGCAGTGATTTTAGAGCACAGGTTTCTGTTCTGAAACGTGCTCGATTTTCCGACCCTTGTTTCTCGTTGGTCCCACGCAGCTTTCTCATTTCCTGGTTGCTATCAGCCAATGCAGAAACAACCTTAGCATTTGGTGCTGAAACCCAAAACAAAACTCAGTGAAGTACAGTACGAGGACGCCCGAAGCAGTCACCAGAAAGCACCCGTTTTATTTCCGAACTCAGTGTTCTCTCCATCCGAATGTCTCGTGGACAAGATTCCAGACTCGGTCCACTTCAGGCTGGCTCTGCCTGCCTTTGTTCAGGGCCTTGTTGGAGATGAGAGTTTGGCGGTGCACCATTGCCTGCTTGCCATTGTCCTGGTCCTTGCTGAGGAGGATGGTCTCCAGGTGCATTGGGATCTACCTGCCTTTGTTGATGGCTTTGTTGAGGAGGATAGTTTCCCGGTGCACCGTTGCCTGCTTGCCATTGTCCTGGTCCTTGCTGAGGAGGATGGTCTCCAGGTGCATTGGGATCTACCTGCCTTTGTTGATGGCTTTGTTGAGGAGGATAGTTTCCCGGTGCACCGCTGCCTGCTTGCCATTGTCCTGGTCCTTGTTGAGGACGGTAGTAATCATTTGGGCCTCCCTGCATCTGTCCTGGACCTGGACCCTGTTGAGATGGATAAGGGCCCGGCGCACTCTGAGAATACTGCTGGTTGTGGCCGGGGTAACCTGCAGGAGGTTGAGAGTACGATGACATTGTCTGCTGCGTGCTTTGTGCCGCATAAGAATACTGCGATGGAAACTGTTGCTGCTGTCCGGACTGTGGAGCAGATTGCGACTGCCCTTGGTGCTGTGGCTGCTGGCTACTTCCGGCCTGTTCCTGCGAGAATCCAGGACCCGAGGGCTGATTCCATGCAGGATTGTAACCTCCTTGGGGCTGGTTGTTGTATGCGGGGCGGTTCTGGCCATTCTGCCATTGTTGAGCAGTTTCGGAGAGCCCAGAAGCTACTGCAGGTGGAGCAGATGGGGCGTGCCCAAGTTGATGCCCCTGGTAATTGTACCCATTCTGACCATTCTGCCCTTGCTGAGGGTAATAGCCAGACTGCGGATAATTTGGAGCTCCATTGAAAAGAGCCACTTGTGCAGGATCGTGCGACTGCGATCCCAGCATATGAGGCTCAGACAGAGTGTGCATGAGGTGCACGTCGTGATTGTAAGGACCCGGTGGAGGCGCTTGTGCGTTCGGATCATAAGTTCCTTGCTGAGCCAGCGATTGCGGAGGTCCATACCATTGATGTCCTGTCGCGGAGTTTGTTTGGCCCGAAGAGTATGAAGACGGGAATTGATTGTATTGACCTTGGGCCTGATAGCCCGGCTGATTGTAGTACTGCGGTGGTGGCTGGGAATTGGACTCGTACTGCAGTTGGCTGTGGGCTGTCGCTAGATAACCAATTGGGTTGGGAGCTGGAAGGCCACCCGGATAAGCCGATGGGAATCCATTATGAGAGACAGGAGCAGGAGCAGCCGCAGGAGCAGCAGCAGCAGGAGCAGCAGCTGGACAAGCATCAGGAATTGCATCGCTCAGAATCTCATTTTCGGAAATTGGTTTGCCCAAGATCAGATGATCAGTCACCCAGGCTTTGTGTACAACGATGGCCTTTTCTCCCAGAGAAGCGTACATTTTCTTGATCAGTTTTCGATGGAGCATATATTTGGGAGCCATGAACAAGGGAGTCATGATCCAAGCTGCTTCTGTGACGACACCAGAAGTGATCTCGGTGACGGTGCTCTTCAGAATCTCATCCCACAACCAGTAGCCTATTCCAGCTTGTTTCAACGCCTCCAGAATGAATGCTTCCAGTGCAGCTTTCAATCCGCTGGTTGACGCTTTTTCGAGAGTGGCCGTCAGCTGCTTGGCTAGACTCTGCGCATCCGAGAGCGACCGGACGTTGGCAATCGGGATCAGTCCTAGAGAGGCTGAGAATCCAACACACTGCACCATCGTCGTGGCCACCATGATGGGTATCCCCGAGAATGGAACCATAGTTCCTGCTGCTGTCGACATGGCCACCGAAGTCATATCCCTCTTTCTTTTCTTCTTCTGCTCATCCACCGTTGTGTGTAACCGCGTCTCGATCTTCGAGTTCATGTGCGGCTCTGCGTCACTCTTAGCTGAAATTTGTACAGATTCAGATTCATATAGCGTCAGATAAGGTCTACCAATTGTTCCAAACCATGCAAAAATTAATTCCTCACCCTCTGTATAAACCTCAGACATCCACACCATTACTTCTCTCCGTAAGCTGTATGTGCTCATCAGCACCTAGTGCGAGCACGACTACGACCATTTACTTGAAGCCGGACGTGACAATCCAAAACTAGAACTCCCATCCCAACTTCTCGCCGTGAGTTGTCACTAAGGGCGACCAGAAACTCACGTGCCTGTACGACGAACTGTTATGACATATATCACAATACGCTATATTGTACTAGACTTGGTGGGAGATCGTCAGACTGTCAACAACTCCAGTTTTCTCTCACAGGAATTCAGATATAGAGCCCTTTCTACGTTCAACGCCACCAACAACAAATTGAGCAGATCAGATATTGTGAACAATGTGACTTACCTCCATGCTTTGCGGTGTACGTGTTGTAAATCGACCGATAAACGGCGATGGAAGCAGCATCGATCAGTCCAGTTTTCGGACTGAAGGATTTGGTGTCGATGGTCTCTAACGGCTGGTCATGTTTGGACTTTCCCATGATTCCGAGATCCCAATAAACCCTCTAGCAAATCTGCACGGACGTGCAAGAACAAGTTCCTTCGCGTTCAGGAGGTGGCTCTCATCGCCGCTCCGAGGTGACGGGATTGTCAACAGATAATCGAACACGATCGGAGTCCAGGCTTCGAATCGAACTGCCTCGCACTCGGGTCCGTGGAGAGAGAGGGAGATGGGACGATGGGAAGATGTCGAGATTCGCGCACAGTTGTGGAGCTAATCGGGATGACCTTGACATTCTCATCTCCGAGCATCTGCGCGGCTTATATAGCGAACGAGTTGACTGGCAATCTCCTCCGATGCTCCTGACTTCACAGTATTATGCAGGATAACGTGTCTTGCGGACTGGGTGGTCAAGGGGTCAAACCCGAGTAGGGTGCGAGTCTGACCGGGCGAAAACTTTGCTTCGGACCCGGCTCGCAGGCCCAATCGGTCAAACTCAAGGTTGCGAAAATGCGACGATGCCGCGGTGACCGCCAGTTGTGCCTCCTGAGAGACCGGGCTCACCGTCCCTCCCGGTTCTGCAAGTTCCAGTCTTCCTGGTCTGGGCCATCACTGGGAGGGGAGACCGAGCAATTTCCGGTCAAAGGATGGCAAGATAATACTTAATTTATACCAACTTGTACATATATGATACCAAACCCGTACGGCCTTGTGTCCGTTCGGGTATCATACGTACTCGGGTACGGATGTATTCTTGTCAGTTTCATTAAATAAAATTATTGCCGCTAATATGTCTAATAAATTTTGTTCCATTCAATTTAATATTAACATATTCTCTAATTAGTCCTATAGAACCATGCTTGTAGAAAATACGCTTAATAAGCTGTTACTATATATTACTGGGGAAAGTAAACTTTCATAGAAATGGTGAAAGAGCGGTGAATATATTATTCTTCTCAACTTATAATAGTACTAGATATTAACTAAATCTTGGACGCAAAAAGACACACTTCTCATTGTGATATTATTATGTTCGTTATTATGTATGTTCTCTCATTGGGATTAACCCATGCTCATTGTGCTCCTAATCTCCTCGTCTTTCTGCTATTTTGCTAGGTTTTCACTTAAAATATGTAAGTATTCATGATAGTGGAGTGGTGCTCAAAATTGCTGGTACTAAATCTATGAAATTTCAATGTATAGTTGTGGAACAATAGGGTGGTTCACATTTTGAACATTCCTTTGGGATGCGTTGCATATAGAGTCAAGCATTAGCCAATAATTTGGTACTCTTTAAATGCAAGCCTATGTTCATCTCAATCTATGGTAGCTTCTTATGTTCAAATCAGAGTCTTTAAACTTTTGAATTATATTTTCAATGAAATTTATCATGTTAAGAAAATTAGTGATGCAAACACATCTATTTGTTACATGTGAACGGACAACTCTCACAAATGAGGACCAAGTAATATTGCAAAAAGATTTGAAGACCTACCAAGCCTAAACTATTGGTTTGTGTAATGTTGAGATTTGTGTGCAATCTTTGAATTATTAATATTATTAATTTTTACAACTATTTTAAAGAAAATTTTATAAAGAGAAATAAATGAGATACATAATCAGATAATATATTTTAGAATTAATAAAGTGAGCATATACAATATAATGAGAAGTAATCAATATTCTACATGTATTCAATCAGATTGAATATATTTGTGATATTCATCACAATTTTGCGTTATTATATCTTAGATTTATTTTGAGCCAATGAATAAAAAAATCTTTATCTTCACGATTTTTTTAGAAATCAAAGTTTCATTTAGGGAGGGGCTAGTTATCCCTCAGTTTGGGCTATTATCTCTCACCCTAGGCTAATGCGCATTAATTCTCACTTTCCAATGACTGTGAAGATTATATCACACAGCTCTAGTCACAAAGCTATGTTCTGTATAGTATAGTAGAGTGAATGATAATTATCCCAAATTGAAAGATAACTAACCACTCACTTTATTGATTGCATTATCATCGAAAGTTTTTTTTTGTGAATTATATTCCAAAGAATTTTTCTTTTGCAAGATAATGAATTCAAAAAGATACAGTTTAAAAAAAAGATTATGAGACACATTGATGTAATGGAACCAATTTCAAAAAAGGAAAGAGAGTGAATATGATTCTAAAAAAGTATGAAAAAGCACAGTTCATTAAAACCCTATCAAGAATTAAAAAATTGATGATTCAGATATAAAAATCAGTTCTTAAAATTATCCAAATAAATCATAATGAAGTAAATAAGCCAGACACATCTAAAATAACAAAGTATAAGAACGATGATAAGAATGATGTCTCTCTATATTATTCTCCACATTCTTCAACTAGAATATGAATGTAACCTAAATGGAAAAAAAGAAGACAATCATACATTTACTTTAACTTTCGGCAAAATTCAAAGCTACGATGGCATAATGTATTCAATTCCTCCTAGCCTAGTCTCCTCTCTCCCATCCTTCTCTTCAGCACCAGTACCACCGACAGAGGCTTTGGGTGGATACAAACAAGAGGGAGGATGTGGCGTGATCTGAATGTTCTCTACTAGTTATAGATCTAATGCTCTTGGCACTAGCTAGGGATGGACCTTTGAATTATTTTCTCATGTTTGTGTTGTTCAACTTTTTGACCCTTGGGCAACCCCGGGCTTGGTCTATTACCAGTCAACATTTTATTTATTCGCAGAAGGCAATCTGTAGAGAATCACTTTTAGCGATTATTGATCGATCACCATCAGTCACTCACAAACTGTACATCACATCTGGATAAAATTCGTCACTTGTACATTGTACGCTTGTACCAGACTTCATTCATTCTCTCATTGGCTTTCAGCCTCCAAAATCTCTTTCAGCTTTTGATTCCATGCAATCGAAGCATGTTCCAGCTCTCTAATACGAGTTTGACGAGTTCTTCTCTCCTAAATTCGTCGAATCCTCCGTCGAGAACGCTCGTTTAGGACAAATCGATGCTCGGTGACAGGTGAATGACGCAAATGTCCAAAGTGCCCACTTGATGCGCCGAGTTGACTTCTGCGATCCAGGGTGGACTCGGCACAGTGGATCGTGGGACACCACTGCTTGCCTTCGAGCCGGCCCGACTTATCACCCGATCCGAGACTCACAAGTCCAACTCGAGCGGCACCTCGAGATTCGAGCCACTGTCGTTCGATCACTGCTCTCAGCGCTGTTCGTGCAAGTGGTGCTCTCTGCCCAGTCACACTACCCTGCTCATGTGGCAGCATTCGCATCTCTCACCATCGACGTACGCCATAGGAGTACGTTCTGTACATCCGAATCAAGTCGAGAACATAGGCAGCTGAATCTGGCACAAGGAGAGAGAGCGAGCTCGTGCTGTCCGTCGAGTTGTGGTCCTAATGTGCATCAAATGGAGCCGGGAGCTGGATTGTACGCGATCGAGCGAGCCAGCCCGATACCTCCGATGCCGAATCACTTTCACAAACGGATCAAATGAGCATCATTTAGCTCTGTTGTAGGATTAGCTCGGAGGAATATAACAACTTCAATTAAACATTTTTGTACACTGTATCAACCGAAACTAATTTCTCTTGTTGCCTATCGTGGTGACTTCCTCTCATGCACAATCTCTTTAACATGTCCAAAACCGAATAGTTTTCATATATATAAATATATGTGTATATATGTAGAGAGAGAGAGAGATTAACCATCTCGTTGTCATATACTTGAATACATTGGATGCATCCACTCACTTGTCGCTATCTTGTTGTAATAACGTTACTAGCTAAAAACATCAACACAACATCATCTCTAGTTGGATATTGCAAGGCCACACATAGAGGAGAAGAGTGAGATTGGAGCTAGTGGTCGAGCTAGAGATTCAAGTCAGAAATTTGATGGGCACGGTCTTTGGAACGATGGACTCTCATGTAAGCCACAGCCACCCGATATCAACCTCTACCTCAGAAGACCATTGAAAACTATAAAGTATAAGTTTGTGTAGAAAAAAATCTCATTGTCGCCGGACGCATTCCGTGATTCATATTCATTAGAGTGGTCGGCTAATGTGACAACAATGCAGCAATCACGCTCACAGTTTACATTCTCAGTAGATGGATTGTGTGAGCTAACAGTCGAACAGTAAATCTCTGGCTAGGCAGATAAAATTGTCCTATTGAATCCAACCAGCTGCTATCCGATAGGAATTTTCTTCTCAGCAGTTTCGCATTGATCCCTCAACTATATGCACACAACAGTCACATTGAATAGGGACTACAAAAGAAAAACACGCATGTGATGAATCGAAAAACAGGCCCGGTGATGACTAGATAAAAAGAGATGCAAAAGAAAGTCTCAGTTGATGTGAGTGTTGGTTCGTGCGGAAGCTCTTTGTATTTTATCCAACTTTTAAAGCACGAGAACAGAGAAGTATCAAAAGACGGAATGGGTGACACGGCCTGTGAAGATGCTCTATGAAGATGTATAATCATCTATTGTGATAATGATTCACTTGTGGGACCAGTAATCACAACGCTCTTGATAAAAGACTTGTCTTCTTAATCCAAGTATATATCTCATGTAATACTAATCAATTCTAAGAGAAAGCATCTATCTATTGATGTTGAATATACACCTTCACGCACGATAACAGTAGATCCCGTCTGTGATCTTGAAATAAGCAACATGTTATGTGAATAATTGTTGTAATAAAATAAAATACGAAGAAAAGATGTGAGGGAATGGTTCAGCCCACGATGAAATTTCATTGATACAGAAAAAATTATAAAGATAATCAAGAATTTCTCAATACATGGTTGAACAAAGATATAGAAATTTGCATTTGTATAACGAGTGCAAAAATCATCCTTAGTGGATTCTTACAATCATTACATGTGAACTAACACATAACATTAACGATGAAATCTTGACTATTTTTTCTCAAGACTGATATAAGCATTTAGAACTTCAGACATATGGAATAACTTTGTCCTAAAAGAAATCATTATAAAATTTGCTAGGATTTTTCTAAATTTTTCTAACAAAATGTGGTATTAGGAAAAATAATACACGACACATATTATGTTGAAGTGAACCAAATACAACTAATATTAGAAAAATTTGGATCAAATTAAAAAAAAGTAAACACAAAGAGGGTTGGAAAATAGATTGGAGTTTTAAACTCAAAGATATTTTAACGTTTTTTATGATAATAATTATTAAGTATAACAAGAATTCGTTACATTGAAATACATTGAGTGTATC